GGCTCTTTCCGGTTTGCTAGCTCTCTGACACCAATGCACCCCCAACCCGCCGCCAGGAAAACTCGCGTTCGGTTCGAGCAGTTCCTCCAATTCGAATTACTTCGAGTCCAAGACGATGTACCGCATCCTGCTGCGCTCCCTCGCCAAGACGCGTGAGGGGGGGGGCGTTGCGTACTGCACCCTCGTCACATGGGCTGTGCTTGCTGAAATCGGTAGCGTCGTGTTCCCGGTGAGACAGTGCGATGATCATAGCCTCTCCCGGACTGGGGCATACCCACACTATCAGACCAGGCATTCCCGGTGAGAGCGCACGCGCAGACCGGCGGCTGTTCGCGCTAGCCAGCCTCCCGGGGACCCTTGCCTGTCTGACTGTCGCTCTCTCTTTTCTGGTCCGTTCTCGACTGTGGTGGTGTGTGTGGGGGGGGGGGGGGCTTGGGGGCGGAGCCGGTCTTAGTCACTCTGGACCCAATCGCACGGTCGTGCTCTGTAGGCTTACATCACCTTTATGGCGCCGGTGATCTTCCACGTCGTCTACTCGGGCGAGGTACTCACCGACATGGCCACTTTCTTCCTCCTCTTTTCAACGATCATGGACTTCGAGCAAAAGGCGTGTACCTCCGCCTCGCCGCTTCGCCGCCTCCCCGCCTCCCCGCCTCCCCGCCTCCCCGCCTCTTTGCTTCGCCACCTCCCCGCCTCCCGGCTTCCTCGCCTCGCCGCCCCCGCGCTGTCCCCAGCGGGATCACGACAAGAGCGTCACGAATCCACGCTGCGCCCCGTCTTCCACAGGCTCTCCACTTGGTGCAGTTCGCCGCGTGCCTGACCGAGGAGCAGCGCGACCTCACCACCAAGTTCGTGCAAGGACATCGCGCGAAGGCGGAGATCCGCGCTGTCAACCAGGCGTAGTGGTAGGAGTAGGGGTAGTAGGAGTGAGCAGGCTCACTCGAATGCCTGGCCCCTCTCCACGCCCCAAGCGACAGGTGGCCTTAAATCCACACCGGGACTGGGGAGACGGGAGTTCCTTCTTTTCGAAGAGGTCGCTGACTACTCCTACAGGCGTACCTCTGGTTCTGCTTTATCCTCATCTTCGTCATCTTCATCACCTTCAAGAGCTGGTTCTCCATCCTCTGGCTCTGGGTCGTCCCCTTCTCGATGTTCTACTACACGATGGTGACTCCCCTCAGTCTCCCACACCGCTTGAGTAGTAGAAGTAGGCAACCTTAGTTCCTGAGCCTCTCCTACCGCGTCCTCTCCCCGCCGCGCCCTCTCCCCCGACGCATACCCCCCCCCCTCCCCCCTCCTTCCAACAGGTGATCCACTCCTTGCCGTACTGCATGAATGGGTGGACGGCCTGCCCGGGGCACACGATGCCGTGCATGTGCTTGACCTTTGCGCTGACGTCGCTCACCATGTTGAGCCTCTTCATCCTGAAGCACGGATGCTTCATGTTCCCGTGCCTCTGCAAGGAGGAAGTGCGCGGCGGTTGCCCTGTAGCACTTGCAGCCCTGCCACCCACGCCCCACCTCGGCCCAGCCACCTCGGGCCATCTCCCACCTCTGGCCACCTCGGGCCACCTCGGACCACCTCGGGCCACCCACGCCCCACCTCTGCCCCGGCGGGCGCCTCGCTGGAGCCCTGTCGTGGCGCACACACTCAGCGGTGCCGCCACCTCTTCGCCCCCACCCAGGTCCCCGGCTGGCTCTTCTTCCCCTCCTCCACAGCGCTCACCTCGCCGCTGCGAGGCATCTTCGACGTCTTGAACGAAGTATCAGTGAACTCTCAATTATGCCTACTGCTAGTGCTACGACTAGGCATCTTCGACGTCAACCTGTGGTTCTTCGAACGGCCCGTCACTCGGCTCATCGACTGGTTCACCGCAGGCTTGCGAGCTTGGCCATCCCGTACCTGCACACACACACACACACACACACACACACACACACACACACACACACGCACACACACACACACACACACACACACACACACACACACACACACACACACACACACACACACACACACAGACAGACAGACAGACACAGACAGACGAGCGTGCGAGGAGGCGCTGTTCACAGCAACGCCGAGTTTGCGAGCTTGGCCCTCTCCCGTACCGCAGCCGCGTGGGACGACGACTGCCGCTGGGAGCCGACGGCGAGCAGCTTCAAGTCGCAGGCCTTCATGTGGCGCGTGTGGCGCGTCACCGGCGCGCGCCCCCCTCGGGCCGGCGTCGGCTCTCTCCGCTCGACGCCGCAACGTCGCGACTGTTGCGACCTTAGGCATTGGCCCCGATGAGTGCCTCAAGCCTACATACGGCGGCTGCAGCGACCCGTGCGCGCGCCACGCCGCCCCGGGCGCGGGGCGATGCAGCACTGCCAAGCTGACGCCCGCTCGCCTGCGCCGCTCTAGGTGGGAGAGGGACGACACTCTGGCTGATGAGGAGGTGAACGGCGGCTCGCTGGGGACGCTCGGCGGCTTTGACAACCAGCGGCAGGGATGAGGCCCCCGGTAAGCGTCTTTTCTTTATGTAGCATTGGAGGTAGGTTAGGGCCAGCACCGCAGCGTGTGATGACCGTTGTATAGTGTGTACCATTTGGGCAAACGGCGCGCGATACGAAAAGGCGCAGGGCGAGGCGGAGAGAGATTAATAGGAGTCCCGAAAAGCCACGAGTGGAGGAGGGTGGGTGGAGCTGGAGTGACAGGTGCGCGGTGCGGACGACACGAGGGCGAGATGTCAGATGACGAGCGGCTTCGCAAAGAACGCTAGCTATATGGGAATGCGTCGTCTCTCGTGAAGGCTGGATTGACAAGCATACGAACAAACAATAGAGGCGACGGGAGGAGCCGGCAAAGTGGATGCAGTGACGTGACCCCCCCCCCCCCCCTCTCTCTCACACACACACAAATAACGGGCTCCAGGCCCCAAATGATGTGTGAGTGTTAGAGTTGTTTGGTATTGCTTAAAATACCTCTCTCTCTCTCACAACCCAAAGAAAGAGCAATCCAGCTGCATAGCGATGTAGGTGAGGTAAGGTAGCATGTCCCGCCCACACACAAATGCACACACGCGCCACCGTAGTGACACAAGAGCACTTGGAGCACTTGGAGTGCAAAGGAAAGAAAAGAAAACAGACAACCCAAGGGAGGGATGGGAGGACGGCACGCCGCCACCACACAGGGATTTTAAGGAGAGGAGTGTGGTGCTAGCCGTCGCCCACCCTTGGGAGTCTGCCTCTTCCTACTTCCTACTTCCTTACCTATCTCTCTTCGCAGTCCCTCGCCGATTCTCGCTGCAACCTTCATGCCACCTCGCGGTCGTCCCACTCTCGTCGTTCTCTCTCCTGTCGCTTCCTCCTCTGTCGCGTCGCTCTCATCTGCCTCGTTCTGCGACGACGACGCCCGCCTGCCGATCCCTTGCTCTCGCGGCTTCTCCCGCCTTCCGGCGCAACTCCGCTCTCCTCGCAGCACTTGGAGCACTGAGCTCCACTTGGAGTGCAGTCGGCAGCCTCACATCCAGGGCCGGGGAGCTAAGAAGCGCACCCAGCGGGCCAGATGATTGGCATCGGGTTACGGGCTAGAGAGCCCTAGCCCTGGGGGGTGCGCGTTCGCAGGGAAAGGGCCGTACAGTTAATGCGGTTCTCCGAGAGGGCTCCGTGTACCGTGTACCGGGTTTCCCCTTAACGCCCCACTGCCACTGCAGTCGTTTTTGATGTCTCTTCTTCTGAGGCGGCCTCTCCGCCCCGCCATGTCGGCTAGCCCCACTGGCCCCGAGGGAGCCGACGGCCCGGGTGGGGTCTCCCCGGGCGAGGGCGGCCCTCCCCGGGGGGTCGGGCTGCTCTCCCTGGTCGACGAATCGCGCCCGCATCCGGCGCGCTGGACGCGTTTTTCTTTTTCTCGGCGATGCCTGCAGAAGCTCTGCGCTGGCGAGCTCGGCGATTTCTCTCTCTCGCTGTGTTCGAGGACGCCCTTTCGGGAGAGCGAGAGAGTAGGGCGGGGCGATGCTCCTCGCGCTGACTCTCGTCTCGTCACGGGGCCTCACATCGCCGACCGCTCCCGTTTTCGCATCTCCGCTCCGCTGTGCTGGGGTGCGCTGCAGTGATCCCGAGCGGAAAGCGG